CTATCAATACGTCAATGCACTGTTCCATTACAATTTTTATATCTGTATCACAGTTCGAAGAAAAGTTACCCACCTAAAACCGAAATATCATATCTTTTTGTTCACTACTGTGTATATATATATATATATATATACACACAGTAGTGAACAAAAAGATATGATATTTCGGTTTTACGTGGGTAACTTTTCTTCGAACTGTGCTACAGATATAAAAATTGTATCACATATATATATATATATATATATATATATATATATATATATATATATATATATATATATATATATATATGGGTGGTTTCATCTCAAATCGTGTAGGCAAAAAGGGTCGAATTTTTAATTTCGATGAAAAAAATATATGTTATGGCGCCGTTTCTAAAACCTTGGTCGACACAAACCGCAAGTTCGTCAGATTTTTTGTTCTCGACTTATGAATTTTTAAAGAGGCCGCGGCGAAAAGCAGTGTTTTTCACACCCGTCGTGGGTCGGATGTTTCGCTTGATCTCCCGCCATGGATTTTCAGTCCACATTATATTATCTTTTTTGAAGCACTCTTTGGACACATTTAAAAGGCTCCAATAGCATGAAATAATTTTAGGCCTTTTGCTTTTTTTCTGTAAAAATGTCAAAAACGCCTCCTCGGTCAATTGTTGACGAACTTTGACAATTAATTACTGGAGATCTACTTGGGTTACACCGATATTTCTTATGTCCACGGAGAGCCCAAAACACGCTCTTTATATTTATTATAAAATGCCTTGGTTGTATAAAATATCCTTTGCGGTACGTTTACGTTAGTATTATGCAAAAACCAAAAAGTACCATTTTTGAAATTGATTTTCTCAGAAAACCCATTTTTTATTTTTTTTTTCATTTTTTGTTCAAATGTAGATATGATAGTTGTCTACACGAAAATCAAGCCTAGAAAGTGTATATTTTGTTTGTATGTTCTACATTTAAGCATCAATATAGTACAAAAACGTGTTTTTACGGCTCGAAATGGACTTGCGAATTGCGCGTCTTCACAAGCTTGGAAATAGTTTTTTCTTTTTTTCAACGTTCCCACATAAAAATGAAATACAGTATTTCCACCCAGATATATTTATTGATTATTTAAATTTTATTATAGGCGGCAAGCTACATCGGAGGAGTTCCAAAAAGAGAAAGCAACACTTATTAACAGAGCAGCAGGTGTCGTAAATTTTTAACGTGTAGGAGTCGGCAGACGTCTTATTGATTCGGGGCCCTCATTGGCCTGCATGAACGTCCCACCCTTTCGGAGCCAGCAGATGACCACGACCTTTCGCGCTCGTTGTGTTAGATGGGACGGCCCGTGACAGTAAAGCGAGCAGCGCACCCTGTGTCACGAGGAGTGAAATGGTACGATTCTGTCGTTGACGCGGCGAACAGTGACAATCACCCAGGAGGAGTCTGTCAGAGTATTGCACAAGGGAAAGCAAAGGAATCGTTGCCTGAAAGGATGAGGACACCAGGGCCTTACAATGTCGACGGTCAACAACTGTTCTGCCAGCCAAAACAACGCCGCGTGCGCGCTAAAACCGGCGGCGCGGGACAGAAATCCCGCAGACGCACACACGAAGATGGGCCGGTTTCGTTAGGGATGTGGGGGAATTTGAAACCAGCCATCCGTGCATGCGTGAAACGATACCGCCTGTTTGCCCTAGCTTCGAGCGCCCTATCCTTACCTTGAAACGGCCGTGCTCTCTCTCTCTCTCCGGGGAGATCCAATAGCACCGAAGGGTTATCTATTAAACTTGAGGAAGAAAACGAGAAGGGAGTGTTTAAGTTTCATTATCCCCACCAACCCGCTCGTTCTGTCCTTATAAAGGGTTATCTCTTTTGGAAACAGCAAAGCCCGAAGACTGACATTAAAACGAGCGTGTTGGTAAATATACTTGTCTTTGTATTCTGCCCGGAGACTAGTTGGGTCGAAGTCAGCCTCCTTGTCAACTATAGCCGTTTGTGAAGAGTGGGCTTCTCCCGAGATAAAACGTTAGCGCCGGCTGACGTGTTCTTTTAAAAAAGGGAAGGGGACAGAGAAAGTTTGAGTAACTGCAGAAACTACCTCGAAAGCTCCTCTCCCGATATGAAGCTTGAAGCGTAGTCTCGGTTACCTTCTTGCGCATCGCCTGCTCGAATCTATTCTTCACTTTCTTTCGTACAGCCACTGTTCCGCATAGCCGTCGTGGATGTGCGCAATAGAGGGAGGAACAGATTAGAGCATCATCTGGACGCCGTCATCCTGTCAGACTTCAATGTCGTGGGACCGACTCGTGCGTGTTTCTTCGCCCCGCTGAACTTTGTTTCTCGGGTGCGGTTTTTTCTTAACGTTTTTTTTTTTTTTTTTCAATGTTTTCTTACTAACTTTTTGTTAGCACTGTTCGGTTGTTGGGTTTATTTCGTCATGGCGTAGCGGCCAGGCGGTGATGTAGAGAGCGTGTTCGCACGCATTTGGTTGCGTCCAGTTTAGGGAATGCCCGGGGGAGTTGGTTTTTGTTCTTGCCATGTGCGGCTGAGTTTTCCCGTCTTTATTAAATTATTGATTTTTTTTTTGTTTTACCTTTACGTGCCGTCGACTTCTTTGTCTGACTCTCCACCAGGCGTGGACCTATCGCCTTGCCACCACTCGAACCTAAATACTTTATTTTTTTTAACGCAATTTTCGTTAAGATGGGAGTTGGGCAATTTAATTCCTATTTATTTATTTTTATTTCCTACCCCTCTCCATGAAACACTCTCTGTGTGTTTCGGACCGTTTCTGTGTCACCACTTTTGTGTATTACGGAAGTGAAAGGACATTCCCTGGTGACCTGTGCGATGTGCTGTGAACAAGCCCCAGTGTTTGGTTTCGTAAAGAATTGTATATATCGACAATGTGGTGGCTTTCTTTGTCTTAGTAATATGACAGCTAATAGCTAGTCGTGCTAGTTTACTTTGAAAGGTTTATAAATCGAAACAATACAACGTCTGTCCCATTTGGTTATTGAAAGTCTACTAGGCCTGCTGATTTGGTTAGATATGTATCTCATGGTTCCCGCTCTTATCAAAACATACATAAATATTCAATACCACTAAATCTGTTTATAATTGATTACAAAATGCAGAAGAAAATTCAAGAAAACTTTTTCACAATTCATAGGGACGCATGGGTCGCTATGTCTGACTTAGGTCTTGCAAAACAAAGACGTCTTTTTCCGATATTGAGGCCTCAATATAAAACATGCAAACAAAATATACACTCTCTAGGCTTCATTTTCGTGTAGACAACTATCATATCTACATTTGAACAAGAAATAAAGAAAATAAAAAATGGGCTTTTTGAGAAAATCAATTTCAAATATGTTACTTTTTGGTTTTTGCATAATATTAACGTACACGTACCCGAAAAGGATATTTTATACAGCCAAGGAATTTTATAATAAATAAAAATAGCGTGTTTTGGTCTCTCCGTGGACATAATAAATATTGGTGTAACCCAAGTAGATCTCCAGTAATTAATTGTCAAAGTTCGCCAACAATTGACCGAGGAGGCGTTTTTGACATTTGTACAGAAAAAAAGCGAAATGCCTAAAATTATTTCATGGTATTGGAGCCTTTTATATATGTCCAAAGAGTGCTTCAAAAAAGATAATATAATGTGGACTGAAAATCCATGGCGGGAGATCAAGCGAAACATCCGACCCACGACGGGTGTGAAAAACACTGCTTTTCGCCGCGGCCTCTTTAAAAATTCATAAGTCGAGAACGAAAAATCCGACGAACTTGCGGCTTGTGTCGACTGCGGTTTTAGAAACGGCGCCATAACATATATTTTTTTCATCAAAATTAAAAATTCGACCCTTTTTGCCTGCACGATTTGAGATGAAACCACCCATATATATATATATATATATACCGGGTGTTTTTGCGAAGAATTTCGAAAATCCTAAACATTAGGGCTTTTGAAAAACAAAGAAACTGTCTTCGGGAACAAACTACCAGCCACGGCGGACGTCAGGAATTGCCAAAAACATACTAATTAGTCAGCTTATTAATTAAAATTTGTTAATTAACTTTTTTAATTAGTGGAAATCGACTTATGATTCCAATTAGAAAGTTGCTGAGCGTTATCGAAAACCACTAAAGCAGTCATTTTCAGAAAGACTTTGAGCGCGTGAGAAGAGCAGTAGTGCACTAAATTTACCACTCCTGGAGCAGGTACGAGCCTAGCGGTTGCGATAAGGCGCCCGCGTGATTTTTCTGCCTCTTATCTAGCCCCAGCCTTGTACCTGCTCCACGAGTGGTAACTTTAGTGCGCCACTACTCTTTTCACGCGCTCAAAGTCTTTCTGAAAATGACTGATTTAGTGGTTTTCGATAACGCTCAGCAACTTTCTAATTGGAAGCATGTCTATTTCCACTAATTAAAAAGTTATTTAACGAATTTTAATTAATTAGCTGGCTAATTAGTATGTTTTTGGCAATTCCTGATGGCCGCCGTGGCTGGTAGTTTGTTCTTGAAGACAGATTTATTTTTCAAATGGCCTACAGTTTAGGATTTTTGAAAGTCTTCGCAAAAACACCCGGTATATATATATATATATATATATATATATATATAATATTCTTCTGCCGGTCTTGATGTATCTAACAGATACGGCTTTACTCCGACTGTGAACTATTTATATAAACATCTACCAAAAGAAAGACTGCTGTTTTTGGCACATAAAATGTAAATAATTAAAGAATTAATCGATTACTTTTTGCTTTCTACTCTTTTATTCCTCTTCAAGGAAGAGAGAGATAACAGATGTATTTCGTAGAGACGAGAGATGTATTTTTTTGGAAGAAAAAGTTTTCGCTTCCTCAATCCCATTCTTTTTTTTTTCTTCTTTCTTTCAGTACAAAAGCAGAGCAGAAACACAGCTGCAGGACAATAACCTTTTCTTTCTTCCTGCAGGTGACACAAGCCATTCTGTTCGACAACCAAGTTGGAGCTTCATGATTAACGTCAGCATGAATCCAATCACATTTCTGAACGAGATACACAAAAGGGGGGATCCAAGGACGAGAGACTACCCCCTGGTCGTCAACCCCTTTTTCGTCTTCCCCCTGATTCTAGGCTACCTGTACTTCGTGAAGGTGGCCGGTCCACGATGGATGAAGAACAGGGAACCCTTCGAGATCACAAACATCGTCCGCTTTTACAACCTCTGCATGGTCGCTGTCAACGCCAGGTTTCTCTACATCGTTCTGAAAAATACTTATCTTCCCGGAGGTCGGTACAGCCTCTGGTGTCAGGGAATAACCGGGTACATGGACGAAGAGCTCACCGAATACTACAAGGGCGGTTGGTTCTTCGTCGCGGTTCGGTACGTCGACCTCTTGGACACCGTTTTCTGCGTCCTCCGCAAAAAGTTCAGACAAATCACGCACTTGCACGTCATTCATCACGTCATCGTAGCGACAAACGTCTGGTTCTGGACCCTGTTCGCTCCAGAAGGACAGGTCGCTCTTGGACTGGCCATCAACGTGTTTGTGCATGTCATCATGTACTCTTACTACTTTCTCGCTACCCTCGGACCCGGAGTGCAAAAGTACCTCTGGTGGAAGAAGTATCTCACCACGTTGCAGATCATTCAGTTTGGGGTGTCGATACTTCACCTTTCCATTCCTTTATTCGTTGACTGCGGCTTTCCCAAGTATCTGATCGTACTCGGCAACTTACAGACATTCCTGATATTGTGTCTCTTTGTTAACTTTTTTGTGCACACGTACAAGAGAGAGGGTCCCTCTATTAAAAGCGAAAAGAGTAGCGCCGTGGGAGACCTCCACCAGAACGTTGGGAACGTAAAGCCTGATTAGTAGCTTTATGGACCCTTATAGCCGATTCCTTTCGGTAAAGACTCATGAGCCAGGAGCTGTCGTGATCAGTGTTCCCCAAATAAAGACATATTTCCAATGAATCACCCAGTTTCACTGAGCACTGTTACCTCTTGCCTATGCATTAGCCTATCAAAGCTACGGAGTATTCGTCTTAGTTCTCAAAGATGGCTGGCGTGAACCATAGAAGGATCCCCTAAATTAATATCTTCCGGATTACAAGAGCCAAAAGGAGTATTGTCTGGCAGCGCCTCTCGGCGCCGTGTTGTAGCTGTACCCCGCCAGGACAAAGGAGATAATGGTCAGTTGATACCCAGTCGAGTGAATCTGTTGGATGAGCTAAGGATCTGCGAGGAAGTCGTAACATCTGCATGTAAGGGAATGAGGTCTCGGATCCAGAGTCTCTCTATTCAGCAGTCCTGGTATTGACGGCGAAGCTGGCTGCTCTCAAGTGACTCAACGCCACCAGGACAAAGAACGCCTGCATCGAAGTTTTGCTACCTGCACTCGTGTGCTCAAGGCAGCTCGAAAGTCTGGAACTGGCGTGTCGCCGCCATTGGCTGTGAGGATTTCTGCATGGACTACCTACCTGGGGACATTGTAAAAAAAGAGCCCTCAAAAGGGACAACGAGGATGCTTCATGGATCTGCTCTCTGATTGTGGGCGCGATATTGCATATCCTGTAAATAAAAAGCACGTTACATTCTGGTCTCCGATATTACTGTTCGGACACCTGCCTTGGTCATGGTCGTCAACCAGGACCAGAACTTGTTGTTTGCAAGTTATTGACATCACTAAAGGGATGTCATCCTAAGAGGGTGCCACCAAAACATCTCGCCGCAAATCGAGAGTATTCACTGACGCCATATTTGTGGGTGGTGTTGAGAACGCGTGCTTAGAACGAGCTCAAATGTGGCTAAGACCGGCAACCTTGAGGTCTTGGTGGTCTGGGGAGCACGCCGGCGGCGTCGCCTCTGTTCCTTGTTGTTTGTAGGGACCCTAGATTGCAGAGAGGGTGCACCTCAAACCATGGAGAGATTTTGCAATTTAATGGCGGACGCCTCCATCGGAGATTGGTCACAGGTGCGCATGCGCTGCGTGATCGCGTGGCTAGGAGGAAAGCAGGCGGACAGGCGGACACGCTAATGGACGACCAATGCGTTCGTCACCCGTAGCTCGTATTGCAAACACGGACCATAAACCATGTGACCATAATCGAGCAGTTGAAACCTTTCTGCAATACAGGCTCTCTAATTGTTCGCTGCCATCCAGCGGTTGTGGCCGCCTACTCGTCGGAAAGCAACCGTGAAGAATTGCGCGGGTCCAGTGTGCCCGCCATTATTTCTACAGGATTTAAGGCTCTCACAAATTCCTCATGCTTTTTCCGTGTCGCAAAACTTAAGCGAACGGAATCTGAGTGCGGCGGCCAACTGATGAAAATGACCTGTCGGCCGTTTGGTGAGCTTCGTTAATTCGACCACCTCCTAAATAAAACGGCATTCGACAAAACAGCGTTTCATGAAATGTCGGGAAGTCGTTCCCTATACACGGGAAAGGTGTGCGTGTGTGTGTGTGTGTGCGGGGGGGGGGTATTTTCGGTTAAGATCCAAGCAAAAGATGAAGGAAAAAATAACACTGGGACGTCATGAGATCACTGTTGGAAGAAAGACCTAGAATGGAAAAGAGAGACGTGAGTTCTCGAGGTTTCTCTTTCAGCGTTCTTCCTCTACTACTTTAATTGTTAGCATTGTATTTACTCCAGTCTGGTGTAATTTAGTGACATAATTAAGAGGATCACATAAACTTGCCATATAAGTGTAAAAGATGCGTTAAAAAAAACCTCACCCTATTCTTGACGGAAAGCTTTTTTTCAACCCATTAGAGATACACTTCCTTCTGGCTCGGTAACAGCATCCAAGTGCAAGCGGCATCAAATGGTGAGAACCCGTTGGTTGGTTTTAAACGATATCTTTTATATACTTTTAAAGTACTATAGAAAAAATGTTAATCAGTACTTTGTATTTATGGGGGGTACAATGTATTCCTGTATTTTTACCTTAACATAATTTTCCACACATATGAAAGTATTTGCGGTACGTACCGACGATACTTTCTTATGAATTAATTTCAGCGGAAGTGTTTTAGCTCGCATTGCCATGCTTACTGGTATTTGTATTCCCTGAAATACTGTATTTCATCCTATCCTTCGGGGTGAGGAGGCTGGAGGGACCTCCTTCTGTCCAGGCATGCTTTTTTGTTAAATTGTTATGAATGTCAGAGAAGAAAGTGGAAGGTATAGTGTACCTAATGCATATTAGGGGCTTCCACCCAAATGAGGTTTAAAGTAATAGAGAGTTTTAGTAGATCGTTCCCATGACTCCGATAACGATATCCCGATACTCCGCCACCGCCTCCCTTGCGCATGCATAGTATCGTTATCGGGGCTATCGGAGGTATCGGAACGATCTACTAAAACTCTCTAATGAAGCAATGGTGAGGGTGCAGGCTAGCTGGTGTAAATTGAGCATAGTTGTAACCCGAGACTGGGGATACGGACAAGGGACATTGAGACTTCGTCCCTGTCGTTCTGTGTTTTGTCCCTTGTCCGTATCCCCAGTCTCGGGTTACAACTATGCTCAAGGTTTAAAGCATGGAACGCTTTCCGGCGCCCGTTTTCGGCTTGAGCGGTGTCGGCGTCGCCGTCGCCGTCGCCGTCGGCGTAACCGCGCGGGGCATTAAGGGACGCGTGACCTCATCGTCATCGTCATCGTCGCTGATGACGTCATTAATGACGTCACTGATGACGTCATCGGCATCCGCATCGTCATCACCATCGTCACTGATGACGTCATCGACATCGCCATCGTCACTGATGACGTTATCGGCATCCGCATCGTCATCGTCCATGATGACGTCATCAGTGACGTCACTGATAACGTCATCGGCATCGGCATCGTTACCGATGACGTCATCAGTGACGTCACAAATGACGTTATCGTCATCGTCACGTGACTTCATAGGCGTCACGTGACCCCCGTGAGGTCAAGTGACCCTCGTGAGACGACCGCGACGGCGCTCCGAGGGAGGAGTAGCAGACAGGATGAGGAGGTGAGGAGGAGGGAGAAAGGATATACCTTCCCCTCAGTATCCTTCCCCTCCTCCTCCTCCTCAAGAACTGCGCTCTAATCCGGCGTTTTTTTTTTTTTTTGTTTTTTTTTCTGTCTCACAGACATTTGTATCAATCAACCTAGTAGAAGGGAAGGGAACTATTTTTTTAGAGCTCAACTAAGAGGTGGTGGAATATTAAGAATGAAGCAATAAACCTTTTCCGAAATTCAGTCTGGCCACTTTCATCAATATCATCATCTGTGGAACGGCATCTGTGGCCATACCAATGGCGGCCTTCCAGTGACTGATAGAGGAAGACGCTGATAATGCTCATAAGCGGATGATGCAAGGCTTGTACATTTGGGGGGTCAGTACGACGCGACGCACGAATGGCACACAAGAGCTACGTAAGCGTTTATTTCTAATACCTCAGATTCAGTCAATCTGTGGGCGGCGCACAATCGGCTTTAAGGCACTTTGGTGTATAGAATTTTCTCGAGGCATCTGAGTTGGTTGGAGCTTTGTTCTGAATGCAGGTTCTTGGTCACCATCGAACAGAAAGTGATCGAAAAAAAACTCACACTGAACAATTACTCGCGTGCCGTTGACTTGCGAAAGTGACGGTGCCGATACAAGTTCATTTCCGCCATTGATATGGCAAAACCTAAACTGCTTTAGGAACCACCAGATGGCACTGAATTTCGAAAGCGCCACCCGGCGGTCATTTCGCGGGGACTGATCCTTAGCGGACATTTTTGCCGTTTTCGCCCGCGTTAAAACCGGTGCTGAAACCGCACCCACTGCTCAAACCGCACACGACGAAATTACAAACGGCATGCCCAAAGAAATCGTGTAGGCTGTGCGTCCTGCGGCGTACCACCGCGACTTTCGCAGTCCAACGCCCCGCCAAGCGCCGTCCCGTGTCGAGAGTAGAGTGACTCTCGCGTCTGCTAGCGAGGCTAAAAAATAAAATCGGCCATAGACTTTCTCCACAGGGGCGCGCACATCTCAAATGTCTCCATTTTAGGTGAGGGTGAAAACATAGTTTTGCTGTCGCCACGACAATAATAATAATAATAATAATAATAATTATAATAATAATCAAAAGAAACATTTAGGAGGTACGCGTAACTTTATATATTCTCGTTTTGCTCCCCACTGTTCTTTTACTATTTGCAGAGAGAAAAGTTTAGTGTGCTTATTCTTTTTTCGTCGCCCATACCGAGTGTGTAGCCACCAGGTGGCTGCGGACGAGAGTAGGTGAAAAAGAGGTCTATACGACATTAAACATGCAATAAAATCGTCGTTCTGGCACCATTTTTAATATTTAACCAGATGTGAGATCTAAAGAAACATAAGTGGACATAAATATTTTTTTGTGAAACAACTTTCGTGTGCCCAGTTTCAGGTACAGGTCCCCTCAAAGTAAAACGGTGCGCCGGAGCGGCGACCGAACTGCATCGCCGCGCAATCCAGCAGCGCCGGCTGGAAACATCTGCACATGCGAACGCCTTCCGCGGGGGCCTCCGTTTTCCTCTTCCAGTCCACACGTTATCGGTGGCCACGGTGTCGGTGGCTCGAGCGGCGCAACACTCTTCCTAAAAACGCGCGTGATAGCACAAGGGGCGGTGCCTATCGACAACACTCGCCCCTCTGTCCCGCCTGGCTTCAGCGTTATCTCCCCGTGCAATTTGAACACCTAGCGGTGTTTATCGGAACAGCGTTTGGCAGCTCGAGGCGCCGATAATGCGAGGATCAAACAAGAAAGACGGAGGACACCGCGAACGGCACGCCCGCATCCGCAGACGGCACCTATCAGTTGCGGTCGGGGCTGCTATATAGCGCGGCGATGCAGTTCGGTCGCCGCTCCGGCG